GAGGATGACGCAGCAAGCAATAGAAAGTAAATTGATAGGTGCAATCTTAAGAGACAACAACTGAGCAGTGTGGGTCAGGAAACAAACCAGGGTTAAGGATATTATAGTTGAAATTAAGAAGAAGAAAGAGACATGTGCCGGGCACGTAGCAGGTAAGCAGGATAACCACTGGTCATTAAGGTTACTGACTGGATTCCCAGGGAAGGCAAACGCACGAAGCGGAGAGAAAAAATTAGGTGGGCTAATGAAATTAAAAAGTTTGCAGGTATAACCTGGCAACGGAAAGCACAGGACTGGGTCGATGGGCAGATCATGAGAGTGGCTTTTGCCCTGCAGCTAGCGTCGCCAGGCTGATGATGATGATGATGACGACGATGAAGAATTACGCCTAAAGCGTTAGTAATGGGTTGGAGCATTCGACGACCCACTTGGTACGCAATTCACATTGCTTGACGCCTGATTGTTACTTGCCTGTCTGAAAACGTTTTATTTTTCATAATTAACGCGATTCCTTTCCCAACATCAGGCCTGCGCAGGGTCTGTTTGCATCAGTTTTCAAGCACCGGCGTGGGTCAGTGGTAGGACACTGGAATGGCACGCAAAGGACCTGGGTTCGAATGACATTGTCTTTTCAATCTCTTGGGTCTTTTTTTATCTCTCTCTTTCTTTCGCGTGATCGTGGTTACGGACAGCGGCTGTGGCCGCGGCGGACAACTACGGCTCACGCGATCTTTGTTCTCATAACAGATCTGAGAACAGCTATCACTGTCAAAGATCTCGTATCATCGGCGTAGGAGACAAATGTCGCTTTACTTGGGTAGTGTACAAAGCCATTTATGTAGATTGAAAATAGAACTGGCCCTCAAACACTTCCTTGTGGTGCACTAACAACTACCGGCTTCTTTGCAGATGCTTAATTGTTGGCATCTAGAAATTGAACCCTGTTAGAAAGATCAGATTTTAGATGAGCTTGCGGTGTTGCACGCACAACACATTCTTCTAATTTACTGAGAAGGATGGAATGATCTATGGTCAAATGTCTTTGAAAAATCGACGTATGTGCATATTGTCATTTGTTTACGACAAAATGCATCTGTACTTATTTATTAGTCAAGAGGGCTGTTTCGACACAGCAATGCTTCCTGAAGCCATCTTGAAAATGTTGAAACAAGTTGAGTTGATTAAAAATGATGAAAATCCTATATGCATTAGGTTTTCCATCGCTTTTGAAAGCACTGCAAATATTTAAGTAGGTTGATCACGGTTTACTGCCCTTTATCACCGTACTTGTGAACTGGAACAGCGTGTTAAGTATGCATTTGTTTACAAAATATACCTGCATGGTTTATTGTCACTTTATTACCGTGCTTGTAAACTGGAACAGCGTGTTAAGTCTGCATTTGTTTTCGAAATATACTTGCAGATATTACCAAACGATAGACATGGGTAAAAACAGGGCATATATTACGGAGCACATTCTTTACGGGGCTAATCTGAATATTATCAGCGTCCAAGGAGTGGCTGTCACCAGTATCACTGAAGTGACAACTAACCTCTTGTGGGCAAGAAATAGAGTGTTACGGAACGCATTCACAGGCAGGAACTCAGCATAGCTGACCAGGCCATCAACGACATTTAACCGAGGTTTCAATAAAAATACATCAATAAACGCAATCAATATCGCATTTCCGGTGTGTTTTTGTGCGTTACCACTAAAAACATTTGGAATAACTGAAAGTGAGCTATGGTTTAAGAAAATATTCAATTTGCGCCAGTCTACATCTCATCTTTGACAACCTGGGTCAGTAAACATTTCTACAATATAAGCATTTCGATACATTTGTAAGCCGACTATTTAACGTATTTCAATATTTCTTGAATTCGCTCAATAGGGCTGCACTTCTAAATTTAACAAATTGAGCATACAGGGCATGTTTGCGGGTAACGATGCAAAGAAGCTCAGGCGTTAGCCACAGCTTTCGTGCTTTGGGTGCCATTTTTAAATGCGATGCGTTTGTTAGCGAGCTTCGGCAACTTTCAACGTATCTATCTATCTATCTGTCTGTCTATCTAGCCGCTTACGTTTGGGTGCTCTCGTGGTCACCCTTTTGGCTTGGCATGCACCAAAATTAGCAAGGGAGGGTAAGATGGTTTGTCGAATAAGTGCTGGTCAAGACATGAATAATTTACCGATCGCGTCGCGTACGTCTTCGAACACTTTCTACCAGACGGTGGCGCGTACCCACGGGCGGGTATGTGCCGCTGGTATGCGAGCATGTGCCACAAGTGATTGAAACTTAGTATCTACCCAGGAACGACGAGAACACACATGGGCAGTTTTATTGCACGAGTGTTAAAAAATATCCGTAGCGTCGACCCAACGAATGCAAAGAATAAATGCCAGGGTCCCAGCTGGAATCGAGCCCAAGCATTATGCGTGGCAATGAAGCCTTTTACCATAGAGCTACAACAGATCTTAGAACTGCTTTTCAAATTGACGCTAATCTTCGTGAAGCGTCAATAATGGTTGCAGTGCTTGCTACCTAATTTTATAAACATTACATATGTACTCCTTTGATACAGGCGTCCCGTCGCGTTAACGTCAATTCTAGTTAGTTGTCATGCGCTGAAGTTGATTTATGTAGCAGTATCCAGAGCCAGCATCTTCGCGAGCATCAGCGCTTCATATCAGCTTCTGGTGTTGCTAAAACGCATGTTTCAGTTGGCATCGTTGCGCAAGTGCAAATAACTGGTTATATAAACATCTGCAACTCTGTGCGTGCAACTCTGTGCGTGCAACACTTGTACATATATTTAGCGTCGTTTCATGACATGTCACTCAATAATATATTGCAACACGGTCACCTTCCCTCCGCATGCTTCGCATACCGTCGATTACAAGGTACGTAGGATCTGCCAAATTTTTGTTTTTGTTCTCTTTTTTTTTGGGGGGGGGGTGTGGAGGGGACAGAAGGCCAGGGCGAAATTCATGGTAAAGGTTTTAAAATTGCTCATTAACGCGAAGTCACTATCTTTCACTCGGTAAACGCCATGCCAAACCTCTTGGGCTAGGCATGGCTCATATTCAGCTGCGATTTGTTTTTTAGCATTGCGACGACAGAATGCTGCACATTCTTCGGGCATGTCCGGTTGAGGGCTTCAGATGTATGAAGGCTGTTCGTACCTATGGCCGGCACGATCCGTGTCTGTACCAAGCACTTATTCGGCCTAGCCTGCAAGTAGCCTGTAGCTGGCTACATACAAAAGCGAAACGCTTCAAGATCTGATGACGCGATAGATCGAATAAAAACAGCCTTTTTTTAGTTTTACTAACCATAGATTGGATTCGATTTACTAAGTATGTAACACTTAAGTGACGAATAATGTCAGTGAACACAGCATCTGCCTCTAATAAATCAAGATAATGTTTGAGATGAATGCATCTAATAGGGATATGCCATCGATAGTCATGCGTGTTGTTGATGATATCGGGTTAGAAAATCCATAAATTGTGATGAGTTCACGGCCAATAATATTGCAGCAGGCACAACAAAAGCATGTTTATATTAACATCAGCACCTAAGACTAAGTTGATTTCCTCTTCTAATGAATAACTGAAAGGCGTTTCACCAAATACAAGAAATCAGGTGGAATCGCCAGGTGATGGCCTGTACAGAACGGAAAACATGTTGTTATAGCTCGGCATTGTTAACACCTCGCAATCAGAAGCTATATCAGTGGATTCGTCAACGTGCCCCGCCAAAGTCTCGTCCTTGAGAAAAAGCCCGGTGCCGCCTTTTCGCTTATCCCGAGGATTGCGGAGGAACGATGTATATGATTCAGGCATGGTAGAAGAATGTCTTAAAAGCCAATAAAACAGACTCGTTGTGAGCTATCAGCCCCGACTGATTTATTGAATGCAGTAGATGTGAGTTACATATCCCCATGTCCCGAAGGTGTTCGTTCCGCCTTTGCGCATCACTCTATCAGAGGCCGACTGCCAATGAACCATCGACACTTCCATTCATTTCTCTCGATTGAAAGCTCTGTTTGAAGAGTGACATTTGCTGTTTGAGGATTGTGATACTCATGCCTATCCTGTGATAGAAAAATTGGCCATCGCAAATTGTGACGAATAAGTGCAATATACAAATCTGTAGTAGAGAGAGACTATTTATTAGAATAACAGACTTTTGCCAGCTTCAAGCCAAGCATTCAAATATAGTTTGCACAATATGTAACAGTACATTAGCAAAGCTGAATTGTGTAAGAAATTAGCTTGCTGTTGCTTCGACTACGCAGTTTAATTAGAAGAAACAGAAGCCGCTGGTTGTGGTAGGCTCACAGTGTTGGTGATCTGCACGGCATGGCCAGTTCATTATTCATGGACGTGTAAACCATTGTTTCTGGATAATTGTATTGCGTACAGCCACTGAACGTGGTTAACCTTTGCAGCAATATTTTGTATACAATAAATTCTGGGAAGCGTGGTCTTATGTTTGTGTAAGCGATACAAAATGCGAACATTTGCATTTACTGCTCGAGATACAGGGCTTCGTGCTGTTGTAGCATATATTGAGGCTTATCGTTTGTGATACATTGCTGATAAAATCAGTAAATGAACCACACTGGCCGACTACTCATTTCTCTTCCTCAAAAAAAATTGCACTCTCGAATGCTTGCTGACTCAGGCCATTAAACTGAGAAATACTTCCGAAAAAAATTTTTGTGCACGTGCTGAAAGTTCTGAGAAACTTGGCGACCAAAAGTCACTCATAAACAGATTTTCAGCAGCAACACAGCAAGAAAAAAAATGCAAGTGGAGCTGTTTTTCACTTTCGGCTTGTGAAGGCAGTCGCGCGCACATCAACTGCATTGTAAACCACCTAATAACACCTCGGCAATTCTTCCTCTCTCATAAGCAAAAGCGTTTTTGTAGCAGCATCAGCAATTTTTTATTAAGGGTGGAGCTCCTAAAGTGGTTGGTGTGTCTCTTCTAGCTCGGTGTGGTACGGGAACGCCTACTTCGACGACTCACACAGCAGGTGCGGACGGACGAATAGACAGACAGAGAGACAGACTACGGATGGATGACTCATGGTTTATTGGTAAAAAACTCCGAAGCTTCATTCTACTCATCATCATTCACTCCGTGGATATGTTGTGATTTTTGTTTTTCTGTTTTACAGTTTGGCCTACCAAAAACTAGGGGACAAATTGGCGCTAGTGTCGCAATCTTCATTTACCTTGGGGTATACTAGCTAACCTAGCTCCCGTGACGCCGGCTGGAAGCATAGATCCACCTAGCTACCGTAAGTAAATGCCGCAGTTCAGCCGAATCGCTGTTTACGTCACTGTGAATAGTGGTTGTACGCCGTTACACTTGTACTGAACGTGTGCAGTGTGTGCGTGCACACAGGAGTTGTAATATCTATTATTTTGGCAGGCGGTCTGCGAAAGAGTACACCAACTATTTTGTGCCGCATACTACGGGCATACTGCACACAAGTTAATGCTGCAAAGAGAAATAGATGGCGTGACGCTTGAACACACTCAGTAAGTGTACTTACTCGTACACTCTTACTGCGCTCGTAGTTTTTCCTGTTGGTTGCAGTTGTCCACTGGCGGCCGAGCTCGACGTTTTTATCGCGGGTGGAAATTTGTGGAATCTGAAAACACCGCACCAGCCCGCTAACCGCGTCGTGTTGTGATTTTCGGAGACAGCGAAGAGGGATTTTTCCTCTTGCGCTGATCTGCATTTGCATCCAAACGCGGCATAGACGACTTCTTGTAAAGGGGAGCGGCGTGAACCGCTCGCATTTTGAAGTCCCAGAGCTGCCACTAGCCATATTAACTTGGTGCAGCAGATTCATACGTGACAGTGTCTGCCCAAGGGAGCCTAGGCGCCTGGGCTCGAAGTCAGCGTGCTGTGGCCCAGTTGCCAAGTTACCAGCTGTTTACTGGGTGGGCCTCTAACTATGACACGGGGCTTCTCACATTCAATGGGCTGGTTATTCCCCACGTTGACGTTGTGCACAGCGTGTGCACTCCTTTGTGACTGGAACTTGCAGGCGTTGATTTCAAGAGGACAAAGGCTCACGGGAAAGTTATTTGCTTCCCTCACGAATTAACAATAATCAGCATGTAGTATGGAGTTCCGTGAGCTTGTCGTGCGGGTATATCCTGGGCACAGAAAGGTGCAGGCGCCAGCAGCCCACCAGCTGCTACAATTTATTTCCACTAAAAACATGCCCGTAGAGTTTCTGATGGCATATTTCACATTTGATCTTTCTGAGATTTTTCGGTCACGATAGCTCCACCCTCCCATGGGAGACGGCACGTCTCCAGAAATTTCTACCCGGGCTTTCTAAAAACAATAGCAATTTCGCCCGCACTTTCACAGTCCGTGCCTGGCAGGCCGACGGCAGTATGACGCCGCGACAGAATAATTCGTCGGGCCGAGCTCAGTGAAAATGGCACCTACAACATAGAAACGTAACTAGCAACGTAACAGCATTCGTTACTCGAGAATGGTAACGTAAGCACGTCACGTGCTTTTTCGAGAACATTACTAAGTAACCAAATAAATTAATTCGTTACCGATAACGGTGTTACTTGTAGCGCATTGCCGCCAAGACTGGTTATCAGACAGGCCTGGCAGAAGCGAGCGTTTTTTAGCATTACAAGGACGGAATGCTGCACATTCTTTGGGCATGTCCGGTTAAGGGCTTCGGATGTGTGAAGTCTGTTCGTACGTAAGACGAGCACGATCCGTGTCTGTACCAAGCATTTATTCGGCCAAGCCTGCAAGGTACCTCTAGCAGGCTACATACAAAGACATTCCTAAGGCTGCTTGAGTATTTCAGTCAAAAAAAGAAAAACCCGACCATCTGTCATGCCATGATTGTAGGCATTGAATACCCATCTTCGGGACGACGAGCATTTCTTCATCAAAGAACATCAAGGCGAATACAGCTTCCCCACATGCAGTCATGTACCCTTAGATTACTTCTTTCAACTAATGTCCTTTTACCTTAAAACTATGAACAACAATGTTTCACACAAAAAAAGAGGCGTCTGTACCGGCTCCAGATAGATTGTACTAGAACAAGGGAGTACTTGAAAGGAGCTTCAAAAACGAAACCCAAAGAGGGCCATTTCACTTGCGGCGCTGCGGTCGATAGCCTGCAATGTGTCGTCGAAAAGCTACACACGTCTTTGTTAAAATGATGCAGTGGTGGAATGCTTGATTTTCACTAAAGACACCTTGGTTCGAATTACAGCTGTGGATGTTGAATTTTCATTAGAGTGAAAGTTGTTATGAGCTCAGAACACAGGTCACGCGCGGCGCCGTAGTTGTCTGCTACCACCGCCACTGTCCGTAACCAATATCAAACGAAAAAAAACTCGGTAAATAAGAAACACCAACGACACAATAGGACTTACACCCCGTTCTGTGGCGTGGCTCAGTGGTAGAATGCTGGGCAGGCACGCAGCCGCCTAGTATTTTACCACTGAGCCACGCCAGGGCTTCTGAACTCAGTAAATAAAAAAACTACTGAGCCAAGCCAGTGCTATAAACTCTGTAAATAAAATAGTAAATAATAAAACACCGTTGACGCACTGGAATTTCAAATCAGGTCGGCTGCGCGCCTGCCTTGTTTTCTACCACTGAGCCACGCCAGTGCTAAGAAATCTGTAAATAAAAAATCAGTGACACAATGGGATTCGAACCCGGGTCCACAGCGTGCGAGCCCAGTATTCGACCACAGGGACATGCCAGTGCGTCGAACGCGTTTCTAAACTAGCTTTAGGTAGGCGCGACATCGGGAAAAGACTCGCGTTAATATGAGTAAGAAAGCGTTTTAGACCAACAAAGGAACAGCCATGAGTCACACAATGCGAATTGTGTAACGACAGGGTCGTACGATGCTCAAACTTAAAAATTTTGTTTTTGATCACCCATTAACTGTGGCGCATACCCACTTTACGCATATTTCTTCATCGTCATCATCTACTGCATAAAAATTGCACAAAATTTCCAACAAGTGTGTTGCGGATACCACGCTTCTCCAAAGAATGACGATGGATAACATATTGAATGCTGGCCTACTACACGAAATTTATTAGTATTTATGGCGCAGTTGGTATCTCGCAGTATGCTTCTAGCATCCATAAAAGACTCTGAAAGACCTCTTTTCTAGCTTTCGCTGTGACAGTGCAGTGTGTTCCGCGCAGGCCTAGCGTTTTTTAAGCGTAACTACTTAAAGCTGTAGTGCTTTTCTTTCTTTCCCTAAAGCAGCTTCAGTTGGTACGTATTTTGATAGAAAGTAAAGTGAAATGGTAATTAACATGAAATAAATGTGACAGTAAGCGGAATTATTTGGAGCGCCACTGTACAGAATTAGACAAAAACGTAGAGTACGGCTCCGAGATATTTCCAAATACGAGACATCTCGGAGGGCACACTATAGTTTTGTCGAACGCCTTCCAGTGGCGCTGCAAATACTTAGGTTCGGTGTCAAATTTCTACTTATTTTACTTCATAATTCAAGATATTTTTTGTTGCAATACGTACAAACGGTCTCTATTTTGGGAAATGAGCGAGAACAATACTGCTATAACAAATTACACTAAAAAATAAAAACTCAACATCTTCAGCTGCGATTCGAACCCAAGCCATTGGAGTGGTAAGCAAGCATTCTGAACTTTGACGGAGCAGCTCGCCACCCTTAAAAAGATCCACTGCAGACTACCGATCGCAGCTCTACAAGCGGATTTATACCGTTTGGGCAGCACTTTCCGTACGTTGGTGCTGCGGCTGTTCCGAGTACTCTCCCGTTCTAGTACACACTACTCCACAGTTTCCCCGGCACTCTGGGGCTAATCTTCTGTATTTTTATTTTTTTTAAGTTTCTGTAAGATTCAGTTCTTACAAGTATTTTTATTTTTACCATGAAAGTGTTCTATACGGGAGTCCACCACGGCTCTGTTGACGTATTTCCAGCAGGGATACGACATTGTAAAATGTATACCAACAGATTTTTAAAAAATATAGAAAGAAAAAGTTGCATCGCCGGGCATAGAACCCCTGACTATACCAATGCACCGGCGTGATGTTGTGGCCCACGACCGACCCGGGCCAGCTTTATAAAGCCCAAGCCAAGCCTGACCCCAGCGTACTTGACCGAGCTCAGCCCGAGCACAGCCCGGGCCAGGGCATTGTTGCTAAACTTATGCAGGGAGCGCGTGTTCCTGACCAGACGATGCGCGGGCCCGTTAGAGGGCATCAGTTGTTGATGATGATTATTAATAATGTCTTGCGCTTTGTAGCGGGTGATCGGGCGGAAAATCCGGTGTTTACAAGAAACGGAGAAAACATTACTTAAAGCCTGCAGATTAGCTTCCGGGTCTTGGCCACCAGGGTGGTCACAGTAAAGTTTAGCCTTTTCCGCAGCTTTCCGGGCCTGCTACATGGCCCAAACTTGGTCTTCGAATTCTGAGCTAGCCAGAGCGTCGAGCCAACGAATCTCCAGGAGGTCCGAATTTGGGTGATCAAAATGCCATGTAGTGTGCGGGCATTTGCCTCGAAATGTTCTTTTTCCCGCGATGGTAGCTCAGTAGTTGAGCTGTTTCGCTGTCCTAGGACGCGAATGCGATTTCTGCGGCCACGTCAGACGCATTTTTTAGGCAGGGAAATGCAAGAACAGCCGTGTTCTCATCTTTAAGTACACATCGCAGAACTCCAGGTGGCCGAAATAAATCCCATCTCCTAATGACATGCCTCGCAATCATATCCTGTTTTAAATTCCAAGCATTTCTTAGCGAAATGGCCCAGCACCACATGGGGTTACCCAAAAGACTTGCCGAAGGGAACGCGTCTCGAACATGATATGTCTAGGCTGGGCCTGAGTTTAATAACTCTCCCAATCGCGCCTACGCGAGTGGGCAACAGCGTATGTAGAGACACGTTCCCGGACCTCACTTTCACCATCAACCTCAAAGACGCATCCTGGACAAACGTGGAGGAAAACATAGGAAGCAACCATTACATTATAAGCGTCTCCATATCGACACCCAAACTGCGCAGATTGACAGGCGACGCGGCGATCACAGATTGGACTGAGTTTAGAAAACGAGATCCTCCACCCGACTTAGTACCGGACTCAATAGCGGCATGGTCTGAGTATATAAAGTCGGTACACGCAATCACTACGAAGAAAATAGCCAGAACCGTAGAGACGCCAGTAGTAGACAGCCCTCTGCTACACCTATGGGAGAGCAGGCGCAGCCTACTAAAGCGTTGGAAACG